GGGCTGATGCCCTGTGTTAAGAAATGCCTTGACACGTAGCTTTGCGGTGCATTTTGTGTCATCTTCTTCTTCTTCTCGATCGCATCACACTTGAAGTCTGGTATCTGTCATAAATTGGGCCGTCCTGCTCAGTTCATCTGTCGGCCCGTATAGCTTCTCTATTTTGTGTCAGAAACAAAGAATATGAATATATGTCAATGTCAGCAAATCCCTGACCTTCCTCTCCCTCCCCGTGGGGGGTTAGCGGGTGTTCTGGTGTGGTTAGCTTCTTCTTTCCTATCGAACATCCATCGTCCTTATCTCCCCTTCTTCTTTTTTATGTTTGTTACTCTGTTGTAACACCTCTGATCTTCTGGCGCTCATATGGCCTTATGCAGTTGTGAGCGCCGTAAAACATCTACTAAAAAAAAAAAAATTAAAAAAAACTAACAATATTACAGTCTCAAGTAGCCTACTGTTTTGATGAGGAGTGATTGAATGGCACATAGCTACATCATTGTGTCATTACGTGGGCCTGTGTTGGTTCAGTCACGAGTCTGGGCAATTTTGACTAAATTTTAATTATCTCTTTAACTCTTTACCGCCTGATTGGAATTTTCCGATCTGTTTGTTTATTTATTTTTTCACTTTATTTTTTTATTACATGTATTTCTTTGTTGTTTTTGTTTTGTTTTTTGGTGAGCGCTTTACGGCGCTCGCAACTGCATAAGTTCATATGAACGCGCGGGACACATTAAACATTTCCAGTAGGTACGAAATTTTGAATTTTGCCCAGGTGAGGGCAGAGGCCTACTCTAATCGATTTTGGACCACCAAGGGATCTTTAACGTGCGCAACTTGCACACGGGACCTCCGAGAGGAGGGGGGCAAAGGAGGTGAAGAGGGTGGGAGCAGAAATAGGAGACGAAAGCAGACGAAAGAACATTGCTACAGGGCAGGAAAGGAGTGAAAGGAGACTATTAATTTTAGACAAGAAAATGTTTCCGTCGCTATCCGGATGCTACCCTACCCTGGACCATTGGATGAGAGGCGAATACCTTCACCTTTAGGCCACGAGAGGCCCCCTCGATCTTGTTCGATCCGAAGTATTTAAATTCAAGCAAAGACAAAGATGAGGGGGGAAAAGGATTTTTATTCGTCTCGTTGGAGCTGAGGTCTTGTGAATGTGATTACGTTGTATCCGAGGTTTAAGACATAGAGCTATTCGTTTAGTTTTAGTAAGTGTTTTACGGCACTTGCAGCACAATAAGGTCATAGAAGTCCCGACGATTAGAGGTGTTATATCAAGAGAGTAACAAACACAAAAAAGGAGGGGAGATAAAGACGATAGACGTTTGATAGGAAAGAAGAAGCAAACCACTCCAGAGCACCTGCCAACCACCCACTTACAGATGTATTAACAGAACTAGGTTAATTGCCATTAAAAAAATAGAAGACTTATGGTTGGCGGGTGCTATGGTCGTGTGGTTTGCTCCCTCTTTCCTATCAAACATCTATCGTCCTTATAATCTCTCCTCTTTTTTTGTGTTTATGTTACTCTCTTGTAACACATCTATTCTTCTGCACTTATATGACCGTATTGTGTTCTAAATGCCGTAAAATTCTTACGAGAAGTCTTATGATTTGAAAATAAGTATTGATTTCAGCAGATTTTGACTAAACTAATTAAAAATGTTAAATACTTTATTTGCTATTCTCCCTGCGTCATTCAATCTCAATACATGTAGTTTCTCTGGAATTGGAATGTCACCCAGTAACAAAGCGTCTATATAAATCAAATAATCACTTATACTTTTCCCTTCCTCGAAATTAATTTTGGAACGTTGCCGCAGTTGATTCACCTACAAACTACGTAAGCCGCATCATAAATTAAATGTAAATATAATTAATTATAGACGTTCATAATCACCACTGAACAGTGTTACACCGAAAACAATATCCAAAACTTTCTTTATTCATTGTCACATTATAAATGATAAATACGGGTTAGGGTAGGGTTAGGGAGGATTATGGTTAGGGATAGGAGCTAGCGTAAGGGGTTAGGGGTTAGGATATTGTTTTTAGGGTTAGGGACGGTTAGGGTTCGGGATAGGGTCAGGTGTGGTTAGGGTTTGGGTTAGTTAGGGATATGGTATGTGTATTACAGCTTCTTTGCTTTTTGTTTGTGTTTTCACATCTATAATACAATTAAATTTAGTGTTTACAAATCTTGAAATCATTACCCCCCCTGGGGGCAATCGTCACCATACGCCACAGCTATCTTGGACTGGAGTCTTACTTTAAGTAAGAGACAAGTGACTACACACAATTACACAACACGACAGTCTTAGTTTGCTAGTCTTGCCAAGGGCCTATCATGTCACACTCGCACAGTTACATTTTGATTGAGAACACGATGTATATATAATATATTTTATCGTTGATCGGCCCCATCAATATGCCCGAAGTTGAGGCGTGGGTTTGGGGAAAAGGGGGGCTGATGCCCTGTGTTAAGAAATGCCTTGACACGTAGCTTTGCGGTGCATTTTGTGTCATCTTCTTCTTCTTCTCGATCGCATCACACTTGAAGTCTGGTACTGAGAAGTTGGGCC